CCTCTCACGCACACACTCACTCACTCTCACGCACACACTCACTCACTCCCACGCATGCACGCACACACTCACTCTCACGCACACTCACTCGCACACTCACTCACTCACTCCCTCTCACGCGCACGCTCACTCGCTCTCACGCGCACGCTCACTCGCTCTCACGCGCACGCTCACTCGCTCTCACGCGCACGCTCACTCGCTCTCACGCGCACGCTCACTCGCTCTCACGCGCACGCTCACTCGCTCTCACGCACTCGCGCACGCACTCGCTCTCGCGCACGCACTCGCTCTCGCGCACGCACTCGCTCTCGCGCACGCACTCGCTCTCGCGCACGCACTCGCTCTCGCGCACGCACTCGCTCTCGCGCACGCACTCGCACACGCGCACGCACTCGCACACGCACACGCACTCGCTCTCGCACACGCACTCGCTCTCACGCACACGCACTCGCTCTCACGCACGCACTCGCACACGCACACGCACTCGCTCTCGCACACGCACTCGCTCTCACGCACACGCACTCGCTCTCACGCACGCACTCGCACACGCACACGCACTCGCTCTCGCACACGCACACACACACACACGCACTCGTGTGATTAATAACAGGCTGATAGTGTGAATGGTTTCCTGTCATGTGATTGTTGTTGTTGTTGTTGTTTGTTAGACGGCAGCGGCTCAGAGGCTCCGGGTGGGAAACAGTACATCAGTTTTAAGGGTGAGTTTCCGGTCGTGTGACTGTGGTTGACTCAGTCATCAATCCTCTAATAACAAGAATGAGTGATGGTGTGATTCCTTCATCTTGACACTAATATGCATGGCCATATGAAATCCCTTTTTATTTTTCCCAAAGTCTATTCTTTCCATTTTTATTTTTCTGGAATCCTTTTTAATGATTAAATTAAATTGTATTAATCAAAAAGCATGTTAAATTACTTAGTCATGAAACTTATACAATTTAACATCAATATATTAAAAGTTTAACATAAAATTTTATTTTTTTGGACCTCATGAATTGTGTTTTTCTCACACTGTTTTATTGTTACTAAATTATGTGTTTAAGCATGTTATATTATGTGCATAAAAACAACTTAATTTATTAAAATATTTTCCCCCAAAAAATGTCAGTGTATTTTGATTTTTCTGGTTCTCAAATGAAGGCACAAAACACTAATTTATTTGATCTTTTAATCAAATTGTGGTTTACTATTATTGTTAGTAGTATTACTTACATTCTACTGCACAATATATTTCTGACATAATTTATTCCAGATAAATTGAACGTTTATTTTGACGGGTTGCCATGAATACGTTTACGCTTCAGTGTGTATGATACGATGATGATAGTTGTACTCAAAGGAAAGGGTGAAATGCTGATGAAGTGACTCTCAGAGCAGTTCTGGAGGTGTGTGTGTGCGTGTGCGTGTAGGGAGACTGAAGTCACCGCGAGCGCTTCAGTGCGTGAAATAAAGAGCGCTTAAGCTCCATTCACTCTCACTCTCTCACACACACACACACACACACACACACACACACACACATGCTGAACATGCAGGATTCACATTTAAAGTCTTTCTGCGGCTGAATATTCACAGACACTAGTCCATATCGCCATTTGATTTAACTGTAACGACCTACTTTTGATTCATTCATCCAAACTTTGACAAATTCTGTGACATTCTGCGTTATAGAGTAAATTCTGTTTTTATGACTGGATTCTGAAATCATAGTCCGGTAATCACCTCATGAAAGGGTGCGTGACCCTAAACACAGATGAGCATCTGCAAGCATTTTATTTCAACAAACTGAATTACTCCTAGAATGCACACGCAAAAAACATTCTTGAATGTGTGTCCCTGAGAATGTGCTCAATAATGACACTTCGAAATATTCACGTGTGTGTGTGTGCATGAGTGTGTGTGCGCATTTTTGTGACAAATGAGGACATAAATGTGTATAATGACAAAGGTATGACAGGTATTACAAGGAGAAGGTGACTTTTCAGGACATTACCCCATGTCCCCACTTTTCAAAACGCTTATAAATCACACAGAATGGAGTGTATTGAAAATCTGAAATAGCAGAAAGTCTCCTGTGAGGGGTAGGTTTAGGGGTAGGGTTGGTGTAGGACAATAGAAAATACGGGCTGTACAGTATAAAAACCATTTCGCCCATGGAGAGTCCCCCCTTTTCACAAAAACAAACCTGTGTGTGTGTGTGTGTGTGTG